TTTTTTTTATATTATGTTTTTTGATTCAGAGATTATCAGAGAGTTTTAAGAAGGATTTGCAAGCAGAAGTTACCAGAGTTAATCAGAAAATTGTTGTATCAGAAAAAAAGATTGAGAACGAAATCAAGGTAATTTCAGTTAGTCCAACTTTAGGATTTTGTGTCATTAAATTTTGAACTTGGAATTGAAAGATAGTGACTTCTTGTCCTTAACTTTTGAATTTTGAAATGAAACTTAAGGACATNACTTTTGAACTTTGAAATGAAACTTAAGGACATCATGTCCTTAAGTTTTGAACTTGGAATTCAAAGTTAAGGACTTCTTGTCCTTAACTTTTGAACTTGGAGTTCAAACTTAAGGATTGCATTTCCTTAAGTTTTGAACTTTAAGTTCAAACTTAAGGACTGCCTGTCCTTAAGTTTTAAACATGTCCTTCTCTTTGTAACTTAGTTGCTTTCTCAGGATTTAAAGAAAACTCTAAGATCAAAGCTTGATACTTTGATGAACATGTTTGGGAAAGCTGATCAGATGAACACAGATAGAGAATCTAGTGTTCCAATTAGAAAATATGGAGTTGATGATCATTGTCGTGCTACTGAGCGTACTGGCATATTCAACCAAGATGCAGGTGGTGTTGAACGTGATTATATGGATGTGCATGCAGAGGGTCAGTATGAAAGAGAATTTAGAGATGCACATCTAGATGATGAAACTGAAAATGTTACTGATATTGGGAAAGGTTAGTTATAGATTTTGATTTTTATTTTCGTTGAAATGTATATTCAATAGATTAATACATATAAACTATGCATGTGCATGCAGAAGTTTGTGGAGTGCCGGAGAAAATTTGTAGAGTTTGTGGATTGCAATCACAGGAGGATTTAACAAGTCCATTGGGGACAAGTGTCAGCGAGATTGTATGCAAATGCTTAGAAGGAACGTATGATCTCTCTACACCGCTGTCATACAAAGAAAAATTTGGAGTTCAAACTTGTGCCAGTCAAGGTTAGATAAAATTTTCATTATATATTGTATCTTTATTTCATTATATATTGTATCTTTTGAAGCAGCAAGCGGAGAAGCTGGAGTGCAGTATCAAGAGAAAACTGGACTACAATCTCAAGACATAGGCAGAAGTGAGATTGGTTCCAAATCTATAGATGCAACATGTGATGATGATGATGTAGCTGGAATGATCTTGGATATTGCAAATGGTTAGGCAGTGCTTTTTTAATTTTATATATGTTTGTTTTAATTAAAGATTATTAACATGTTAGCTGTTGTAAATATTTTTGCAGAATCTTGTCAACAAGCATCTAAAGATCATGGTGAACAACTGCAAGATAAAGAAAATGTGGAATTACAAGAAAAAGAAAATGTTGCACGCAATATTTTAGCTGAGTTGTCTCTTGAAAAAACACAAGAAGGTACTACGGAGAAGACAAGTACTGATTGTGCCCTAATTATTATATGCACAATTGAAATTTTGTCTCCTCATTTGACCTGCTGCAGAAAACTAATATGAATATGTATATATATATAGTATCGCCAACAGAGGAAAACAAAGAGGACACCAATGATGACGATCTTAACCAATATACAAGGAAAAGAAAGAGAGACAGTATTGGTTATGATGGTCCGTCATTTTCTCTTCTTACTCCTACTCCTCCAAGTATACAAATGGACATTGATGTGACTTTGACTATGGAGGGTGAAGGAAATGTTGAAGAAGAACTTTGTCAAGGTAAAAGGAACAAGAAGTTAAGCTGGCAGTTGAAATCTCCTTTTGATAAGGAAGGAAAAGCAGTAAGTTCCAAGGCAGACAATCAAAATACTCTGAAGAGTTCAGGTTGGATAAAATCAACCTATA